TTGATTGCTATGCGAAATCTCTTCCTGGCTACTCATTAAACGACATCATGATGATTGTACCTAACATACAAGACAATCTATTTCTAATCCTTTTACTTTTTCGTCAACATAACTTTGTTCTTGGTGCTGATATAGAAGAAATGTACCGTCAGGTGCTGGTTAAGCAAAATCAAAGCAACTTATTTGTCATTTCATACTCATGATGACATTTCTGTTTACACGTTGAAAAGCTATGGCACTGCTTTGGTAGCGTTTCTTGCTATAAGATCTTTTCACGAAGTTACATATCGTCACATCAACGATGAACCCAAACTCGCCTCTATTATTCTGTATGATTTTTACGTCGATGACTTGCTGACAGGCAGCAACACTGCAAATGAATTGAATGATATAAAAATTGGCCTTCCAAGTCTCTGGTCACCATATGGTTTTCCTTTGAGAAAATGGACATCCAACGACTCCTTTAATAATGGTTCTCAAACACTTTTGCTACAGATTGGCTCAGAAGAGCCCTATAAAATACTCGGCTTGCTTTAGAATTCTTCTGAGGATCGTTTGCAAAACGACAAATTCTTTCATGTGCAGCTCAAGTATTCGACCCCTTAGGTTTACTTTCACCTGTAACAGCTACAGCAAAAATCATTCTACAGAAACTTTGGGAACTAAAACTTTCCTGGGATGAATCTGTTCCTACGAATCTACATACTCAATGGTCTATTTATCGTTCTGAGCTCCTTCATATTAACAAAATAAAATAGCTAGGCATGTATTCATGTATTCATTACAAATTCAATTTCTGTTCAGATACATGGCCACATTTGTTGTCAGGACTCTTTTAGAAACTTTACTTCCAATCTTTGCTGCATTGAAAACTATTTTTTTACCACGCGTGGAATTATGTGCTGCTTTTCTACGTGCTGAACTGTCTAGTACATTTATTTCTGCATTTACCATAACATTCGACAACATCTACACCTACGGATTCAACTATTGTTAAATCCTGGATTAACAATTCACCCCACTTATTAAAAACTTTTGTGGCCAATCGAGTGGCCTAAATCCAGAATTTAATTGAACCAGAATCTTGAAAATATGCCAATACGCAGGACAATCCTGTAGATATCTTATCAAGAGGCACTTTAAATTTAATTACGTGTGATTTATAGTTTCATGGCCCTATTTGGCTTACATTACCTGAAGCTGAATGACCTTACTACACCAATCAATACAAATCGATTGATCTCTTTGATCTTCCTGAGATCAACTCAAAAAGTATCTACAAATTCTTTTCATACTACAACTTTAAATTTTGACTTATTTAAATATTCTTCATTAATAAAACTGGAGAGGGTACTTGCTTCGATCTGAGATTCATAGACAACCTCAAGCAAGAAAACAGACAAGGCTTGTCGTCAAACTGGTCATTTGAGAGCTAACCAATTCACGAAACCGCCTTATTCGGAAAACCTGTCTGTGCCATCCCAGATCAGCAATACATTGGAGTCGAGGAAAACTGCCTTCCTACATTCCAACGCATCCAACAACCACTCCAACACTTTTGGGCTGTGGTTCATAGAGTAGGTACATCTCAAATTAACAGCAACGAACCAAATGGAAGGAGTCGAAGGAGAACTTTGTTCAACTGCTCAAACCCGACGACATGGTCATTATTAGAGGTGACGATCTTCCACCACTTAAATAGTAACTCGGCAGAGTCCTTGCAACACACCCGAGCTCTGATGATATTGTGCGGTGCGTGACTCTGAAGACATCTACGGGAGTGATTGAACGACCTGTTGTAAAGCTTCGTGTTCTATCAATCCAAACAGAACAATAACATTTCCCTTCAAAACCCTAGAGGGTTTCAAGGCCGGGGGCTCAATGAACAATACAATAAACTGAAAAATTATACTGCACCAGCCTATTAGCATGACTTGGAAGGTGAGGCTGTGGCGAGTCTTCCTCTCTATCTGTCAGACGAAAAGTGGGGTTATACCACTGATCTCAAAAATAAATGGATAAACAAAGAACGCTTCTATGCTGCTAATTTACGAGGTCATAATCTAAATAACTGGAACAGTTGCGAGCGAATGAAATGAATGAAAATGCACGATATTTCAGAATTAACACATTCAATGACACCTGATTTTGTTGACATATTTTTAACTGGCATTAGCGGCATTTCCCGCCAACGTCATAATGCGAATGCGGACGCTGACGTTATGTGACGCATTTCCTTTTTTTGGGCCTGGTCTGCTAAGCTCCTGACGGAGCTAGCGTTGTATGCCGTCGATTTAGCGTATATTTGTGTTAGGGTGCCGTATTGGAAACCCAAAAATATATATTTAGAATGGATAGTATAATCAACGTTCCCGGAACCACCCGAGACACAGGTTAATACATTGCAGCATATCAAGGTGTCGTTCTGAGCGCACATCCATATTTTTGGTGCCGTTTTCGACACAGTGGCTATGACGGCAAATGCCGCGGGTGTCATTGAATGTGTTAAGATAAGACACTGCGTAGACCCAAACTTTTCGTAAAAGTTTAGCCAATCAAGCCGTACGGATGCTTATCCATTTATTTTTGGGCTCAGTGGGTTATAGTCCCAAACTCGGAAAAGGGCTGTTGGAGACTTTTTCTAGAAGAATTATGTCATTACATTTTGTCATTTTTACACACGCGTTGTTTTGCTTGATTACTTTTATTAACTTTTTTCAACAATCAACAAACTCTGTAAAAGTATTAAATATATGATAAATGTGAAATTCTCAACATCCTTACTAGGCCAAGCAATGAAGGAAGTTTACCTCAACATAATTAGAAGTTAACATTTTTTGGGTGGGGATCGGTCCACTTTCATCAAAAAAAATTAAAATTGTCGCACAGCGCTGAAATTTAGTACGATGGCTTTATTTATTGTTTTCATGATTATACTGCAATTCTAATTGTTGCAGCAGTCATGTGAAGCAATTAAAATTGCAGTATATTCATGAGAACAATAAATAAAGCCATCGTACCAAATTTCAGCGCTGTACAATTTTATTTTATTTTTTGAATTTTTGAAAAATTCCGCGCCACGTGTTCAGGCCAATAAGTCATTGAGTATGTAACGAAAAAAAAAATCCGCTTGGCTATTATGACAGGAATAGATGGGCTGCTGATTGTCGAAAACTGTCATCAAATATTTGGCCTCGTTTAGAAATTACAGTGAATGCAAGAAAGGGGTAGTTTTCGATGCAATTTACAACTTCCTCGCACATTAGGCAAGTCCGTGCTCGCTTAATTTTCAAGCAAAAAATTCGAACAAAAAAGCATTAGAGAGTGCATTTCATTAGCAATAATGTGGTGTTTGAAAAATTGAAATCGGATTATGCATTCGGCCGCTGCTGCATCAAATGCGCGCAAACAGGCGAAACGTTGATCCAGTGACCTTGAACAAAAACATGCTACTATTCAAGACGCTGCAGAAAAAAAAAAATATATAGAAGATAAAGGGGTGCTGTCAGGCAGTTTTATATAGCAAAAAACTTCAACTAAAACAATCATTTGAATCTTTTTGTTATTGGACCATACCTTTGAGCAGCGTTCTCCATAAACCGCAAACTACCCCTAAAAACCACCCCTAACTAAAAACCCTATGGAAGTACAAGGTCGCAAACTTAATAATATGTTATTTAGCATATTGAAATGGACCGATCCCCCCCAAAAAATGTCAACTTTTAATTATGTTGAGGTAAACCCTCTTTTCAGATCCCGGTTTCTTGGACTATACATCGATACACAACATAAAGAGTTATCGGTAAATATTTGTTTTGACTGCGTAGTTCTGAGATATGGCTGAAATAGGTAGGTATTAATGCTCTCAAACATTTCTAGTAGGTAGTATAGACTAAATCACGATAGAAAGTGAAGTTGACAGTTCGCGTTGACATTTTTAGTAAACTTTTTCTTTAGGTTGTCAGCATGCGTTTGCGCTTCGATTCCGTCAGCTGGGATAAACGACAGGGTCGTATTTAGGAAAGTGATATACATTTAAGAATAAAAATGTATTTCCAATTTCTTTAAAGGAAGTTAAGTTATTAAAATCCAAAAATCCTAAAATTAGAGTCCAAAGTAAACACTTATAATAAGAGTAAACACTTAAATCCAAACTAAAACCAGGTTTGAAACGCAACACCGAAACACAAAGGGACAGAACACTACATAAAAAACCAAAAATCCAATTGCGATAATAACAAATAAAAAAAAATGCAGTAAACGGCAAAAAACTGAAAGATTTCACACAAAAATTCGAAATTCAAAATTCAAAGACCCGAATCTGTTATTTTCATGTGTCAAATCAAAATGTCATGTATCATTATTTGATAGCAATGAACTATAACCAAAAACTGGAATGCTAACACATAAGGACGAACTTGAAGCCTAGTGCGGCTGCTGCGGAGGGGATACCTGTTTTTATCGCACTCATTATGTTAAATGGCGAAAATTGCTTCCAACACGTATTCCAATTGATGAAACCTGTGAAGGGAAATATGACAAAACTTTTGAAAACGTCATATGTCAGCGAGCAACAGAAAAAAACAACATTCCCCCTTGTGGCATCTGTCTTTCATGGCTTCATTTTTTTGGCAGATATGGCAATGTGTGCGCATTCCAGTTTTTAGCTATAGTTCATTGTTTGATAGTTAACAGAAAAAGGGACAGATCTGGGGATTTTATTTATTTTCAACTAGTGAAAATAACGGTCAAAATTCAAACTCTCTCGTGAATACGACTATATTAACCCAAGTACCTATAAACTCTGATCCTAAATTAAATTAATAAGTAACCTAGAGCAACAATAATTATTCAAATATTACAATTATTATTAAATAATTGTTCAAATTAGTTGATGATTAAACTATAATGCGGGCTCGACCCACTAATAATAAATTTTGAACAGATAATTCAATGAATAAAGGGGAGGTCAATTGGATTCAATATAGAAACAACATCTGTTATTGTTTTAACAACTTTTTATTCTTACCAAATGAGTCGAAGAGAGATATAAACAGAACTTCTATTCAGAAAATAAAATAACCATACAATTTTGTTTCTATTTTATAGAAAAAATAATACAATTTGTCAACAATTTTAACCAATATCACATCAATTTTGCCTCACCATTTTTTTTTCCAACTTCTAGTTTAATATCACATTCCAAAAAAGATCCAAATATTTGTGTCAACCAGAACAAAATTATAGAAATATCACATTTTGAATATAGCAGCTGATTCGATTAGGGCCGTTCCTGGCAAGAGTGAACTTTTATTTAAGATATACAATCCTACAACTTTCTTTTAAGCCAGGTTGACACGTTCCAAGAGTACTTGAATGCTGCGCGCACCTCACTTGGATAATATCGTGAAAACTGCTAATCCAAGTCTAGTTGAATAGATTTTGAAATTAGGATGCTGGCTGCCAATTTACTGTGTCCAAGTTCTCATCCACGTGTACATGGACTAAGTAAGTTGGCAGTCAGCCTACTTAGTACTTGGAAGTAGGGACTTATCAAAATGAACTTGGATAAAGCCAGGTTGCCAAGATCCAAGTGCACTTATAGTACGGGATACGAGGCCTATTTCATCAAATCATTTTACATCGTCTTGCATTGTTATTATCAGTTAGATAACATGATGTTGAAATGCACTTGTGCAGGGAAATAAATGGGAGTGGGGGATTTCGCTGAAAAAAATATTTCAGAAAATGTCGTCATAAATAAGGAAAATATATATACACCGTCTTGCATTTATTTATTGAGTTAATTTGTACACAAACAAAATTGGATTAACACATGCAAGACGTTTTCATGGAGGTTTTGGGGATGTTAATATTAGATAGAAATTGTCAATTTTTCAGAGGGGTGAAATATCATTTCACGCCAATTCATTGTTGATTTAGATTTAAGCTTGAATGTAGAATAGCCACTGGATACTGATGCAAGACGTCCTGTGGAGGGATAACGGGCTGCAAGACGGAGGTCAATATGTTGTCTTATAAAGGAGTGAGAAATCATTTTACACCGTCTTGCACTGGTACTAATGGGAAAAACAGAACAAATTGATAAGATTTTTAAAAATACAAGACGTTCTAAATGGAAAGAAAGGCCTGCAAGACGGTGATGAAGTTGACTAATTTTGCCGGGGGTCAATCCATCAGGTACAAAGGTGAATACTACTCCAAATTACAAATTACGCACATTAATTTTAAATATTTTTGCTCTTTACCACGTAGAATAAATCTATTGCGCAAAATTCTCTCAATAATATGTATATTTGAATGTCTCTACGGACATCAAATGAAAAAAGGTTGAAAATTATTCTTATTCTGACGGCGTATAATCATTTAAGTTTTTTTGAGGTGGATATGCCATAACACATAACGGATTGTAAGTATTAGGTAAATTTGAGAAATTTGATTTTAAAGCAGCAAAAAAATGACACAACAAATGATCTGTCTGGAATTGTAAACAGAAATTATAATTCCTGTATTCAGCAGGCTCCCCTGTTGAGCTGTTATGTCAACTATCCTTTTCCATCTGTATCATTTAGAAAAGAATGAGCAGTGAATGGTTCAGTAAATAACTCAACAGTTCAGTTAAAAAAGAAAACGGATTTAATGACTTTTTTCCCCGAAAAAACGTCTTGGACTGATGTATCACCATTTCTCAACATACATTCTTCCGGCGGACATAAGCATAAAGTGGTGTAAAGTAATTTTTCTCTCCCTCATGAGACAACACATTGACATCCATCTTGCAGCCCGTTATCCCTCCACAGGACGTCTTGTATCAGTATCCAGTAGCTATTCTACATTCAAGCTTTAATCTAAATCAACAATGGCGTGGTGTAATAGTTATTTATGATATAAGTGTTAAAAGTACATTTTTAAGGCACGCATGTGAAAGTTTGCAGAATGAGCGAAGCGAATTCTGCAATTCACAAGTGCCTTAAAAATACTTTTTTCTACAAACGTGTTAAAAATGCAATTTTTAACACCGCCCCGAAGTATTAAAAATGTTACTTTATCGCACTAGTGCCATAAAGTCTTTATAGCACTAGTGTTAAAAGTAAAACATCAAATTTTGAGAGCGGACGTCAAAAAAAGTTTGTATTTTCAGTTATTTACATTGATATTAATGGTGAAATTTGAACAACTGAGGTAGCCCGATTGGCCGCCCCATCTATATTTTTCGAAGGATCGATGCAACCCTCTTTTTCTTCTGTATTTTGTTGCATTTTTAGCAAAAAGCATTCCTGACCACGACAGACTTTCAAGAAACTGACAAGACATTTCGTTACCTGTAAAACAAGGTGCTGGTTGTATGGATTTTTTGACAAATGTCAAATTCAAGAATTTTATGTAGGAAAGATGCTTCCAATTTCATTTGAAAATCCAATTTGTGACTGGTTATTGCTTTTTATTGCCGTTTGTAGAAAAAATATTGTATGATATTTGTGTTGAAAGTATTTTTAAGGCACTTATGTGAATTGCAGAATTCGCTTCGCTCATTCTGCAAACTTTCACATGCGTGCCTTAAAAATGTACTTTTTACACTTATATCATAAATAACTATTAACACAAATATCATACAATATTTTTTCTACAAACGGCCATAAAAAGCAATAACCAGTAACAAATTGGATTTTTAAATGAATAATAAATTGGAAGCATCTTTCCTACATGAAATTATTGAATTTGACATCCAAACAACCAGCACCTTGTTTTACAGGTAATGAAATGTCTTGTCAGTTTCTTGGAAGTCTGTCGTGGTCAGTACTGCTTTTTGCTTAAAATGCAACAAAATACAGAAGAAAAAGAGGGTTGCATCGATCCCTTGAAAAATATACATGAGGCGGCCAATCGGGCTACCTCAAATGTTCAAATTTCACCATTAATATCAATGTAAATAACTAAAAATACAAACTTTTTTTGACGTTCGCTCTCAAAATTTGATGTTTCATTTTTAACACTAGTGCTATAAAGACTTTATGGCACTAGTGCGATAAAGTAACATTTTTAATGCTTCGGGGGGGTGTTAAAAATTGCATTTTTAACACGTTTGTAGAAAAAATGATTTTTTACCCCTCTCACAAATTGACAAATTCCATCTTTTATTGCAACCCCAAAACCCCCATGAAAACGTCTTGCATGTGTTAATCCAATTTTGTTTGTGTACAAATTAACTCAATAAATAAATGCAAGACGGTGTATAATAATATATTTTCCTCGTTTATGACGACATTTTCTAAAACATTTTTTTCAGCGAAATCCCCCACTTCCATCTATTTCCCTGCACAAGTGCGTTTCAGTACCATGTTATCTAACTGATGATAACAATGCAAGACGGTGTAAAATGATTTGATGAAATAGGCCTCGTATCCCGTACTATTAGATGAGAACTTGGACCAAGTAAGTTGGCAGTCAGCCGATTAAGTACTTGGAGGTCAGGACTTATCAAACAGGACTTGGATAAATAGTACCATATCCAAGTATCGTCCAAGCGAGGTGCGCGAGGCGTCCAAGGGTTCTTAATCCAATTACCGTATCAACCTGGCTTAACAGTCCAAATGCACTTGGATATCAGAACCTATCCAACTGTACTTGGATAAACAGTTGATACGATATTAGTATCGTCCAGTTGAAGTGCGCACAGCGTTCATGGGTACCTACTTTATTCAAGTACACTTGGACCGTGCTAACCTGGCTTAAGATACATTTTTTGCTCTAATTGAAAAATAGATATTTTTCTATCATAAGTAACCAACAAGTTTCAGTTAAGAACAATTTTTTTATTTTTTTATAGATATCTGCGAATCCAGATGGATAGAAATTGGGGATGAAATTCATTTGAGATGTGCAAACCCAAATTTCTTTTTGCATGAGACTACGTAGGACCTGGGAACGACCCTGGAATTTCTGATCAAATTACGCAAAGAAACAAAAATTACCCTAATTGTCCCTAATATACTTATACATATAAAGAAATGGTACTTATATTAAAAACCACATGTGGTGGTTGGAGAAAACTTAATTCAAAACTCCTCAGGAAAAACTTAACTTAAAGTTTCTAATCGAAACACATAAATAAAAACTTTTTCCTTCAACAGAAACAGTAAAGTTCGTCAACTTGTTGGGAGCAAATTAGGAAAGAATGCAGTGCTTTTCAAAAGCCTGCTTGCCAATCAGAATTAAAAAATCATCTGGCTGTATACCCTAAACAAAAAAAAAAATAGAAACACAATTTACTTCTTAAAAAACTAGAAAATATTCTACAACATAATAATTTTTATCATAAACTCTTATAGAGAATATCACATACATATTTCTTATATTTGAAAATTGAAATGCCCTTTTCTGGTTTCCTGGAAAATTTGATTGTTTGGAAAACTTAACATTTAGTTAACTTGAGAGTCGAATTGACTGGTACCAAGTTTCGTTGACGATCCTCATCCAAAATATTCACATCAGCGAAACCCAGAACCAGTTCACCAACTCGATTTTTTTTTTACTCAAAAGTTTCCAAATTATCCGGATAATTCCCAGTCTCCTCTAAAATCCTACACTCCATCTCAGTAACTATTTGACATACCTTCAATTTTACCTCGGCAGCCTGAGCAGGTGGAAACTTCACAACGGTTTTAGCCATACTATCGAAAAACGTCATTATAGGATTTTCTCTAGTTTTTGCCAGGTCCCTTATTTCTCTTAGAAGATGCAGAATGGCAGAGTTGTCGTGAAGGAATGAATGTCCCTCTTCTTTTATTAATTTTTGTTTTTTTGATGGGGTTGGTTCTTCTATTGAGGTGGTACCGTTTTCACTGGTGCTAGTGCTAGGGAGGTCCGCGTCGAATTCTAGTTTGATATCGATTTTGTTTTCATCGTCTTGTTGGTCTTCGAGAGGGTCATCTTGGAGAGCTCTGAGTATGGAAAAGCTTGTCTTAAAATATCCTAGGGCTATTAAATGTAAAAAATCTTACCTTTTTTCAGTTGTGAATTTTTCCAAGAAGCTTATGGAATCCATGTACTCCCAAGGTGATCTGATTTTTTTGCCCATTCTTTGATCTTTCTTTTTCCTGTGGTAGAGATCTCTTAGACTTCTCCATCTCGTTTTACAGTCTGTTACTGGAAAGATAAATTTTATTTTAAATCATTTCCTGTGGATAAAATGAAAGAATGAAAATGAAAATATTAATCCTAATGATACAAAGACATCCCAGGAATATTTTAAATCTTGTGCCATTTCTAGAAAAGCTTTACTCATCAAAAAAAAAAAACAGCAATTTTGGTTTGGATTACTTGGGTTCATAGAAATGTGTTATCAAGTGATAGAACCAATATGATTAAGAAAGTTCAAAAGTTTAGAAATCACTGTAAAGACCGCATACCTATGAAACTCAACTTCAAGTTTATACATCCCAGCTCAAAAAGCTACAAAATTTGGAAGTTTAACTTTAAAAAACGATCAAGAGGATGATTGTTTGGGATACAAACGACTGATAATTCAAGAAATAATGTACGCAATGGCAACATCGCGTTTATACTCACCCGTCCTTCCTACTATCGAAGAAATCGCGAGCCAAACGTCATCACGCACGTTCAAATCCTTATAGTACTTGTGGCCCGTGTCGTACAAAACCTCATTTGCCGATACCAATTCGATAAGTTTTTCGTCTAATTCCCGCGTGAACCGGCACAAATATTTCGCTTTCTGAGACATAACACGGTTTTTGCTACATTTGCGAATTTGCCCGTTGAAAAAAGTGCCGATTTTTCGAGGCCAATTTTCAATGTGCTCGAACCGGCACACGGACTGTCTGGAGGGGCAACGCTGCGTATGTTGGGAACGGATCGACGCGGCATTTGTATGGTCAAGACAGGCCGGGTGTCTGCGTTTTTTGCAAACGAAGCGATTTATTCAACGATCAAAATCCTTTGCACTTGAATGTACCATTTCCGGCTTTTAATTCGCTGCGGATATTTTTAACAGTCTCAATCAAGAGCCCGTCATAATCAAAATTTGAACTATTACCGGCTCTTGATTGGCTCTGGAAAAATTGTCCAAAGATGTTTCCTACTAAACTTATTGATGAAATCAAGAGTTGGTGATAGTCAACACTCAAATACACTACGTCATATAGTTATGGACGACCAATTCCAAAAGAGAAATTGAGCAAATTGACTCCCAATATGCCTACATTGTTTGAGTCTCATTTAACCTTCAAGTTAAGTCGTAACTGTGGTGTCGAAAACTTATAACTCGATTTTCTCAAAAACTCGAACCAAAGTTTTCTTTCTTGAAGTATGATCTAATATATCTATCCATAAAACAATTTCAATATTTAGGTAGTAAGTCTACGTTTCGAAAGAAAGAAAATGTCGATACTTCATTGTCAAGAAATAAATCTTATAACAAAGTACACTAAATCTAATAAGAGGACAATATTGTGTTTAAAACATACTCAATACTTAAAAAATTTTTAGAAATTAGAAGGATCCTCCATATCACATGCCCTATACAGGAGAATTACAATGGCCAGTTTAAGACAATCCGGAAACACACCTCTTGAAAAAGAATCGTTAATTGCAACTTGCAAGAGCAAGGGCAAAAAGTTGAAAGGCAGACCCAGAAAAGTTTTTATTAGGTACGTAAATCAGCCAAAACTTCTTCGATCACTCGAACATTTGTAGGAGAGAAAAAGAAAGAGTTAGATATTCCAACGTTGTTGAGGTATGAAATTGGATCCGCATCCGATGACAAGCCAGCAGTCAATGAAGAGGCAACACCACAATAATTCAGCATTCAGAGTATTGGGATCCGGTTCAGTATTAAATGTCTCGATACGTCGACTAGAACGGAGCTCATTTATTATTAACCAAGATTTTTTCTTTGCGAGAGAGAGTCTATCTGCATAATACCTCCCCTTCGCTGCCCTGATGAGCCTGTGGTAGATAATTCGATAGTTTTGACAGAAAGTTATGAAAACATTATTAGTGAATCTTCTAAGAAAGGCCAGAGTGTGAAGATTATGGCAAGATAGTTGAAGGCCCTAAATGAACCACGGATTTCGGCTTACTTTTAATGGAAAGGTAGTATTAAAAACATTGAGCAGAACAAGCTTTGTTTTGACACAATGTTAGTGACAGTGTCCTCCTTAGATCCAGATTATTCAAAACAAATCAAATCAGATCATGATGGTTCACCATAGCAGTCAGCATGACAGTGTCTTTATGATGCCAAACTATTGTGGTATCATCAGCAAAAGAAGTGCACAGACCACTCTTCACAACTGCAGTAAACACAACAATGGCCCCAAAAAATACCCTTGCGGAACGCCGACGCTAACACTCAAGCTACTAGAAATGCTGCCCCGAGGAACAACACTCTGACTTCTCTGCGATAAATATGAACCAAACCACTTCAGGACAACACCACTAAAACCATAGAGTTCGAGCTTGCGCAGCAGTATCTCGTGACTGACGCAGTCAAAAGCCCAAAAGCCTTTGTCAAGTCACAAGACACTGCCGCAGCCTTCCCACCATCATTAAGTCTGAGGTATACCTGTTCCAGGACATTAAAAATGGCATCGCTCATATTTTTTGAGGATTGGAAAAAAAACTGATTGCAGCCCATTCTGCTCTAGGAAAACCACCATTCGCTCCTTAATGAGCTTTTCAACTATCTTGCTTAGCGTAGGCAGCAATGATATTGGTCGGTAGTTAGAGGGTAACTCTTTCTCTCCTCCCTTAAAAATTGGAATCCTCCGGGCCTTTTTTTAAAAGGTTGGGAAGTTACCTGCTTCCACTGAATTATTTATGGAATTTGCCAAAACATTTAAGACAGGGTTTGGAAGGGCAAGAAATATCTTCATAGAAATATTATTATATGTTATATATGTTTTATTTTTGATACTCAAATTTTATTTTATTTTTTTAATTCTTCTGCCGTAACTGAGTTGAAAAAGAAAAAGTTAGGAACCAAGAAACTGCTCAAGGAGAACAATGATAAAGGATCAGGGACTGTGTGTTCAGGGATGTTGCCTCACAGGTGTCTTGCAATATTGCAGTACTATGAGTTGAAGATGTTTACATCAATTTCAGCCGAATCATCCTGCTTGGATTCTTTTCCCCTCAAGTCATTCAATACTCCAGATCTTCCGCTGACCATTATTTGCAGATGATATTCTACTGCTGTAGTAAGGGGTTTTTGCTAGTTTAATTGTATTTCGGTATTTTGATCTATATTTATTAAAATATGCTACAAAAACTTCGTTAGTCACTGCAAATTTTCTAATGGTGTGCAGACACCTTAAGTTATTCTTAAGACCTTAGTAATCTGTGGTTTTCTTTTTTTGGGTTTTATATTTACAATGGGAAAAGTTGCGTTAAAGATATCAACAAGTGTCAGGTGAAATGAGTGCAGTACATTGTCCCACACGCTCCAGTCCATCTCAGTGCAAATACATCTGTGAATTGGCTGTAGTTGCGCCTAGAAAACAGACTTCCCTTATTTTTCTTAACATGCACACTCTTTTGACATAGTATCGAAAACTCACTCAAAACGGCTTCGTGATCTGATAAGCCTGAATTCTGGAGAGAACAATAGTGCCATGGTATCGAAAAACTTTGCCTTCATATAGTATATAAAAAAATAAATATTAGCGAAATATTACAAGTTGCTTTTAAGAGCCGGTTATAGTACCTATGTCAAAACTTGATTTAATGCAACTTCTGATGAAAATGAACGATTGAAGAGCCCCAATTTGGATTATTATCGCCAGGACAGATACTTTTTCTGAAGACTAAAAACTATTAGATTTCGATGATCGATGTTAATGGGGGAAGAAAGACAACCCACATGAAGAGAAGCAGAAAGTACACAAATATTTATGGGAAAATTAAGAAACTTTAGAGGAAAACGGAGAGAAAATAATGTATGAGAGAAGATGTCGAATTGAATCCTCGTTTAGTTCAATTGAAATGTTACAACTATATAGGTCATAGGAATTTTGAATCTAGATACAACCAAAATAATTAGAATCCTTCCAATCAACTTTGACAGAAGAGAATGAAATAGAAACATTGAAAATATACAGCTCTATCAACTGAAACATCAGCTTCCAAATTTATTGTTAATAAAGGAGCTACAAATCACGTAAGAAATAGAAATACTAATATTAGCTAGTACTGCACTAATGTTGAAGAAATATGTCACAAAATATATGAAGGTAACTAAGCAATAAGAAACTATAAAGGCTTTTGAAAAAGGAATTTGTTTATTTATTTATTCATTTATTCACAATACTTGCCTTACAACAATAATAAAAACACAAAAACACTGCAACGCACCAAGCAGAATAGGGGTTTTCAGTGGTCAATAATGCGACATATGACAGCTCCATTTAAGTTGAACAAATCAATGTTGCTATCCTTATTTGCATAGGAGAAAAACGAAGTAAGTCGGTTCTAGGAGTTGAAAGGTAGAATGCAGCATGACGGCGACTGCATAAACGAGAGACCAAAAAGTTTATTCTATGTAATAAATCAGCATAGCTCATATTGTTGTTACGTAGGTTAAATAGGGTGATTATTGCAAAGTAATTTCTCCGAGCTTGCAAGGATGACAAATTGAATCTCGCTAGCAAATCAAGATGGAATGACCCTGTTCTGGGTAGAAACCATCACTTCTAAACGATAAGTACCTCAATAAACCATCTTTGAACTTTCTTCTTAAAACTTAAAAATTGGAACGATCAATTTTCATATCTCAAAGTGGCATAATTTCATGTCTGGGAATTTAAGGTGGACATTGGGACATTGGTGCTTTCTTCAGGGTTTTATGGTACGGTTTTATGCTACCGTTTTTGGTAAGGCAACTCAGTGGATGTTTTAATGGTTAGTACACATAGCCTCACCCGAACCCAAAGATTTGGCGAACTAGTTTTCATTGACGAGATTACCCTGTACAAGTGTACAATCCTAGATCCGTTGTTAGTTGTCGGCATAAAGCTAAGTAATAGCCTTCAGTTTAGCATAGTTTTTTTTTTATTTACTATTTACTATATTACTATTATAGTCAAAATAACTAGAGTTGCTCACATTTAAGGATGCATTTAACCCTATTTATTTGCGGAGTGATCACTGACGCTGGGTGTGTGGGTGTGTGTTAATTGGCACTTATTGGTTATTTAGTTTTAAGTATAACTCGTCGCTTACCTATTCATACATATCAGTACCGACAGACAGTTCTTTCTTTTAGTCACAACCTGTCCAGAAGTGAAATCTTTTTAGTGGTGACTTGAAGGTCAAGTCAGTCCATTTTCTGGAGGAGGTGGAAGAATTGAGAATTGCCAGGCATATACAACGGAGGAAGAACTTTTTGACTCTGCTAGGGATTTGTTTGCAGGAAAGGCTTTGAATTGGTTCAGAGCGAATTGCTCTAGATTTTCCAACTGGAAGGAGTTGTCTGATTTGTTAATATTGCACTTTCAACCACCAGATTATGAAGCAAGATTATTCAGGGAGATCCTGAACAGAACGCAAGTATCTTTGGAGGGTATTGTTGATTATTGACCATCATGAATGTGTTATTTCGTAGATATATTAATGTTCCTGAGGAGGCTCAGCTGGAGATTATCATGAGGAACTTGGCTCCATTTTATACAACCCAGCTTCCAGTTGTTAATACTTTAGAGGAATTGGAGGTTGAATGTTTGAAGATAGAGGCTAAGAAGTACCGTGCCGAACATTATGTTCCGCCACCTTGTAGACGAGTGAATTTGGTTGAGCCGGATTTTGCTTTTGTCGAGACCAACGATACGGTTCCTGATATTTCAGCAGTAAGGTTGAATGAGGGGTCTAGTGCAGAAAACCCCAATCGTTCGTATTCCTCTACACTGTCTTGGAACTGTCAAAAGCCTGGGCATCTGAAAAGGTAGTGTAAACAACCCAAAAAGCTACATTATTATTGGTGTGGTCATTTTGGCTCGACCACTCCCAGTTGCCCAAATTGCTCGATTTCGGGAAACGGATCCCGGGAGAATCGAAGTTGGGTCATTCGATAGCCTCCACCAGTTCAGATTCATTGAATTCCTCCAACAAAATTGTTTTTTGATTTAAGGTGACCAAAGACCATTTCTAGAGTTGTCTTTTCTTGGGCTCCCCATATTTGGTTTATTGGACAGCGGAGCATCTCGGACGATAGTTGGATTACCAGGTTATGAGATTTTAAAGGGTTTGGTTCTTAAACTAATACGACAAACAGTTTGTTGCACTGTGGCAAATAGCCAATCCTCTACTAGTTTGGCTGATGTGCAAACTCCGTTCACTTTGAAACACAAAACAAAGATTATTAATGTTTTGGTGTTGCCTTTTTTGGCCCATTAATTGATCTCGGGTATGGATTTCTGGACCTCTATGGGCATTTTGCCTGATTTAAGGCAGGATGTTTGACATTTTGCTAAAACTGATCAGTTACCTTTCATTTCCAGTATTCAGGATGCTACTTCACTTATTGATAGTCAAGAAAAACAGCTCACTATCTTAGTAAAAGAGGAGTTATCCCTGATGGGAACTGATTTAGGTTGCTGTAAAGCCGCCGAATATATCATAGAGTTGGAACCCGGTACCAAGCCCATTAAACAGTGGTATTATCCTGTTTATCCTTTCAAACAAAAAATTATTGATGATTCCTTGGATGAAATGTTGAGTTTGGGTGTTATTGAATCGACAAAATCTCATGGTCTACTCCAATTTGCTTGGCTCGCAAGAAGAATAATTTCTATAGAGTGTGTTTGGACTTTCGAATGTTGAATAAGGGATAGTTACCCTATTCCCTATATATCGCCCATTCTTGACAACTTACGCAATTCTCGTTACTTGAGTAGCATTGACATAAAATTTGCCTTTTGGCAAGTGCCTCTTGGACAATGTAATCACCCAAAATTAAAATTTTACATCATCCCTGTTTAGGCACCTTGTGGGCATTATTCTTGTAGAGTGTACTACCAAATAAATAAACTCTGGCACAGAAATGTTCAAAGAATGTAAAGAAAACAAAAAAAAAAATCATCTGAATCGTCAATAACCACTGATTCATAAATTCATATTAATTCACACAATTAACACAGGATCAAATGTAAAAAATAAGTCCGGTTATGAAGTGGTGAGAAGCAGAAAAAAATTACAAATTTTTGGGGTGGACCACCCTCATCACTTAGGGGTATAAAAATTAGCTTAAAACCTATTCTCAGAGCCACCGAATATACATATAAATTTTCATAAAAATCGGTAAAGCCGTTTCGAAGGAGGAAGGTAACTAAAACTGTGACATGAGAATTTTATATATTAGATAATCAGTAGAGAACATTGCTCAAAAAGAATTGCAAGTATTAGTCAAGAACAGTGAAGTGCTCATTATTGCAGAATATAAAAAAACGAATTCTTACAGGATTTTTGTAGACTATAAAATGTAATGTGCAACATACATTGTTGAACATTCCAGGAAAACAACTAGATTTATGGTATCCTAGGCCATGTATCAAAATATCAATCAGTGAACCCAATCTCCATACCCAAACCCAAGCTCCATACAAAATTTGGAAAGGTCAAAAACTCAAGAAAATATTGGAAGAAGTAGACATGTAGCGTAGTCCAATAATCTAGGAGTTCAATCATGGTGAGCGATACTTTGTAACCTTTAAAGGTAGGTAATTTTTTGCGTCATTGAAGAGACTATGTTGCTTTGGTATGATAATCGCTGCGAGTATGGTATCACAAAATTTGAAAATTTCTGTTCACAAAAAGCACTTCATTTAGAATGCACATTGAAGTACCCACAATAACAAAATGGTGTGGCAGGAAGGCTCAACAGGTCAATTCTGAGAAAAGCAAGATGTCTAATTTTCGAAGCTAGTTCACCATGAGAACTTTGGAAATATGTCGTGAAACCAACAATTCATTTATCAAAATAGACTGGAAGCCTTAGCTGTCAAAAGATGGCAAGACACCCGGTATTATCAGAAGCTAAAGTTCGTAAAAACATAGTTTTTGGTTGTGATACGCGTCTTCACATACTTAAACAAGCAACAAATTAGATTTCAGAAACAAGACAATTATTTCACTCGCTTATATAGGTACTGATGCCATGGCTATCCTCTCTAGGAAGAAATATTGTTTTTATTAGAAATCCACAAGTCACTTTATATATTTGAAGAAGAAGAAAATAGAACTGATAAGCAATGAGGTTCTATTCCAACCAAAAAATCCAACAAATATTGGTGAACTACAGGAATCCGAAAAAGTCCAAGCAAGAAGACTTTACCTAAGAAATTGCAAGACTTTATGCTTTGAATCAAATCAAATCAAATATATTTCAATGTGGATTTACAGAATACAAACTATAGAGAAGAAAAATACTGTACGTAGGTACACCTAGATACAATATCTGTGTGTGTACAGCAAGAACCAAATAGATATAAAATATGTATGTTACCTAACTATCACCTATTGGAACAAAAACAAGCTTGAAAGCGATCACAGCAATGTATAGACTAAATATCGTATACTACACTAAAATTATTGACTCATATCCCAATTATCATTATTCCATCAATAAAAGAACGTAAGAAAGAAGTATCCATTAATAATCTGCTTCACTCTAAACCTATATACAGCTATGATTGACTGCACACCATTACACAATATTCAATCCAAGTTGAAATTATAAACACGCAAAATAATGATTTGAAGTTCCTATTACATACTTTTTTATTTATTAATAATAAATGTTAACCGAATATATACCATTATATTAGCAGTACAAACAACAAAACGAAGTCAAATACTTCAAAGTTTTCCAGGAGGCTTCTGTGTATCCTTAAAAAGATGCCTGTTTTGTCCTCGTTTAAAATTAGTCCAGAGTAGGTTAAAAAGTTTCGGACCAAGGTACGTCAGAAACATTTGGGTAGTTGTCTTGTCAGAAAAGGGACGTCAACATCATTAGCAGCTCTCCTCCTAGTACAGTGAAGTGATCCGAGTGTACTATTATCTGTCTAAATTTAGGGGTCTTGGAATACAATTACAAGCACTGACATAGCATATAGTTGCTGCATTATGAAGACTTTGGTTTCTTGATATAGGAGTTTGGTAGAATATCTGGGATGTTTTCTAAAAATAACCCTTAGCAGATATCTTTGATTAACGTTCAAAGTAGAAAGAGAAGTGGGAAATGATCCTTCCCATATAGATAGGGCATATCTAATAACTGATTCTGCCAAAGCTGTGTATAACATTTTTAAAATATGAATCGGCATACAGTTTCTGAGCTGATAAAACTTACAAATGAGTTTTCGAATTATTAAATTTATACTATCTATGTAGTGTATTTTCCATTCCCCGTTCCTCCTTCAGCAAACATTGATATGAGTGTATCCTTATTTCCTTGACATTTAGTTAGTTGTGGTCCATAATACTAAAACTCACAAATTTGGTTTTGTCTAAATTTATTGTCAACCGATTCTCTTCCAGCCACTGTCGAACCATTGCCAATTCTAGAGTTGCTTTTTCCTTGGCAGTTATCTCGCTGTACAAGCAAGACAGTGTCATCTACGTATGAGACAACTTTACCGGACGTGTTGAGAAATAGAAGTTCGTTTATGTAAAGTGTAAATAGAAGTGGACTCAGCACAGTGCCCTACGTTACCTTTGTTAATGAAAAATATTGATAACGAACCTAATGCCCTTAATAATAAATAGGAATCAAATTTGGACTTTACGGCCTAAAAACACTGTAATGAAAAGGATATCGAATCTAAATAGAAAGAAATAGTGGCACAGTGATGAAAGCAAGACGGTAATGTACTTGGCTATCAGTTATCAAATAATATAGAAGAAAAAGTGTAAACTCTATTTGCCTGAATGTTAACCATGAGAATTCTACTTGCTCTCAACATAGAGGAAAATTTAAAAGATTTCAGTACAAATATTTAGTACCTAGGTACTTTGGATAAATCTTATATTAACTAGCTCAGATGCGTTTGAATTTTTGAATGTCGCATTTTAAATCAAGGTTCATTATCCTATCTGTGCAAAGTTAAGTTTCGTTCCTGGTCGGAAATCGTATATAGTAGGCCTCGCCCGCCCAGAAAAACGATAACGCCGACACAAACACGGTATCCGCACTGGAGACGCGGCGCGCATGTCCGCACCGCAAGGATCTTTGCGAAAAGCACGTGTTTTCTCTGACGTCACCCGGACCGCCGGTTCCGAGTACAAACCGGGCGGGTGGGCGGCTTGTCGGCCCGCCCGGTCGCCTGTATTTGTACAATGGTTGAAGGCCGGGTGACCTCCGTTTTGCCCCACAACACTCGTCATTTTTCGTTCGCGACGCTGGATTAAGACGTAGAGGATTAAACGCTGATGATTACTGATTAGCGTATGGTGACGATTATGTGGTTGCGTTTAACGATTTATTAAATACTTGTTGATGAGAACTTTTTTTTAGATAAATGTTTTAACTGTGAATTTTATCATTCAAGGATAATAGAAAATATTGTTTAGTTATGTTATTTGATAAACTTTAAATTCACGATATTATTAAGATATCTCAAAGACAAATGTCAACAAAAATGGTCCACCATCATAATTCTATCTCTCTAACTCCATGTATAATATATTGATAGTCTTCTTAAAATATTTATTAAAATCGTCAATAAGACTCCTATACAGTCGTGAACATAAAAAGTCGAACACCTGTTTTTTCCTATACCATAGAGTCCTATACTTACGGCAATGACAGGGATTGTCATATTTGACAAAAAATTCATTGTGGAGAAACGACTAATTTACCCAAAATAGCGAAAAATCACACCTCGACCATCTAAGAAGACTAATAGTGAATTATATATTAGAAACTTGAAACTAAAAGCCCATTCACAATAACTTGAACTACCTGACTTAAACATAATAAACGTTAAGTTGAACTGAACTGCATTGTTCTTATGGAGCTATTCACGTTCACCATCTTACATACTGAACATAAGGATTTCTTAAGTTGAACCAGTTACCTTGACCTGCCATTTCCTACTGGTACAATGACGTTTTATTATATCGGCCGCAGTGTATAGATACCCTAAAATCTGAGTAGCTGTCACTGTCAAAAAACATCAAATAGGTTTTCATTAATCTTTTCAGCACTTACATAGTTCTGAAAAATGTCCAAATTACCAAAAGCTCTCAAAACATCCAGGTTCTGGATGCGTTCAGGTGCCAACAACAACAATCCCTACAAAGTTTTCCTGGACACTAAAACAGAAAATTACTATTTGGATGAGGATACCTTCAAAAAACGTGGAACGGCTTTCGAAAATGAATATATTAGAAAACTCACCGAAGAATTGATCCAGCAGCTGAAGCATAAGATGGACAAGGAGAGAAAGATGATCATTAGAGATCAGTTGGAGAAGGAGAGAAAAAAACTGGAAGAAGATATCGAAGATATGGAAGAAAATGAAAATAAAAAAAAGTGACAGATTTTTTGTGTATATGTACCTATTTTGCTGTGTTTTATTAGAATATTAGAATAATTACTAATTAATAAACTTGTATTCATTTCTTTTAAGTTCGCATCCAAGGTCTATATATAGATATCGCAACAATTTACTATTACTCATACTCGCGGCACTTTCATCATCCCAAGCAAAACAACCCATAGGTATCGCAATTATTTATCTACCCGACCAAACATATTCTGATAGAGATAAATTTTCCTCCATTCCACCCACGCCTAGTTGCCACGTTTGGCAAAAATAATTAACACGGATAAATGTCTTAATTATTGCGTCTGTGTTCTGCAACATGTTAGCTTTGTTCTCGAACCGGTTATTGATACGGCAATAAAATTAATTTTTAGACAACGTAGGCAGACAAATATTGCTCTGCACAGCTGGTGGTAAATAGTCTTTTTAATTTGATCAAAACAATACTAATAACTTTTAGGTTGTTGTGGCGGTGCGGCGTTACCGATTTCTCGCCTACCAGTGTTTTCGTTATGCAGACCTTGTTTTTTTTTGCTAATCATCGTTTATATGGTCAGTGGGAGCATTATACAACTTTATACATACATAAAATTGAAAATAATTGTGCTACATGAGAATTGATTGACAAATAAAAAATAATAATAGGAAAGAGGGGCTTTATTATTTACCTAGCAGTTCAGGTTGATAAAAAGCATTTGGATTGTAAAACTGTAAAAGTTAGTGAGGTAACCCATTGAAAATCATGGGCGCAGTATAATTAAATGCACGTTGAAATTATGGGCATAAATATCACAGGCTCTGATTATCTGAAAAATCAAAGCTATGACTATGAACAATATATTTGATTTTTTTTTTCAAAGGGTCCTCCACGAGTGCTCAATTAACTCGTAAAAACCTAGTGAAATGCACGTTGTTTTTAACTAGCACTAGAACTTAGAAGTCATCCTAGACTTCACACCACTCCACATATTAGTGAAAAGGGCTGCCAGTGGATCATATCTTAAGACTGGCAAAGATCCGCATCCAATGGAAAACGCACTCTGGTATAACTTCTCCTCTCCCAAACTGTGCACACCCTATGGATCTACCAGGAGACAGGATGGTTAAGAATTCGGCTTCGAGAAAAACTTGTCCATCGAGCTAAGCACAAAAAACAAATGGAACATAGAATCTTTTCACTCCCTAAAAGCAAACACGATGAAATGATATACAGACGGTTCCAAGACTGCTGAGGAAACTGGAGCAGGAGTAATCGGGCCACGGACCCAGATACTCGGATCCAAAACCAAGCATCTTTCAGGCGGAATTAAATGTAATCGGAAGATTCATGGGGTTCAACCTGAACACAGGATATTAAACACGAGAAATTATGATATGTATGACTGTTGGTCGTCTAATGATAAGCTGGTTCGGGTATTTTTGTTTAATGAAAAGTACTCCCTCAGGGCACCAACCTCCAATTCGCGGATTGATGCAGGCTTCCCTTTCGACGATTTATGGTTTTCCGAAAACCTGAAGGATAAGCTCGTTGGCTCTCTCTCTTCGTTCTTCGTGCCCCGTAGAACAGCTCGCTATACTAGGGAGGCTCGTTAGCTGGTCGCCCAAGTCGATCCCAATAGCTAGGGGCTGGCAAAGTATTGCCAGCAAATACGCGATCCAAATGCAGGGTAAGAGTGTCACCATACTTCTGTTGAATTGACTTATGATACAACTTATTCATAACATCCACACAAATTCGTCATTGACACTACAGAAAAAACGTAGAAGAACACCAATCTCATTCTAATTAGAAGGATAGTCAATCAGGGAGATGTACCTTATATCATCGAAGCTTTTCACGTTGGCAATAGAGGATGTATTCAAGAAACTAGGCTGTTATCGACATGACGTAAATAAATATAAACGGCAAACGACTGAATTATTTACGACAACGCAATCATTTGAAACACTACAGTTGTTGATGATTAGTCAGTTAACGTTAGTTCCTGAAACTTGATAAAGGCAACATGTTTTGGCAAGCTCTCATGGTTCAGAATCCATTAGAACCAAAGGCTCCATAATGTCTAGAAAGTAGATCTTTTAATCTTGTTGTGAATAGAAGACATAATAGAAATAAGAACTTCAAGGAAAATAATATTGCTGGGAGACTCTAGGTCTGTTTTCACAAAAATCACAAACCAGTGAGAGCGTTTTTGATTGGTGCAAATCGCCAACGACCAGTTTCCTGACTATTTTCAACCAATGAAATTCGCTCTTACTGGTTTGTGATTTCTGTCTAAACAGTCCTTTTTACGGACGAAAAGGAAGGAGAATCAACGACAAGGTAGCCGGAAAATTTGGAGAAAATGTAACGAATAACAATATGCCAACAAAATAACCTTAAAAATTCTTAATGGTTACTTTCAGCATGAAGAATTATATATGTACACATGGAAAAATGAAACTAGATAACAAAAATTGATTATTGACTATACTCTGGCAAAGCAGAAATCGAACATAAAATTCCAGGATGTGAGAGCATGTAGGAGAGTGACTTGGGGAGAGTAAAGTCTGTTTTTTTTTAAAGATAATTCCCCAAGTCAAAAATTTAGTAACTATGTTGGCAACACAAGCCTTTTCTACATAAAAATTTGAAAGCATTGACAATTTTACATTGTATTGCCAACATAATGTCACTTTGACTTTTATCTTTAAAAAAAAACCCCATTTTAGTATGAACTTCCAGAACCTTGAAATGCATTACCACCATATCAAAGGGAATATTCACAGTGCAGCATTTGAGGCCCTTGAGCCACCAGCTTCCTATGTACAGTTTTTCAACAATCATACAGTTTCATCTATTTTCGTATGCTTCTTCATTCTTAGGTCGATCGAGTGTACGCCACTGGTATTTTCCTGTTTCTGACTATCTCCTCAACCTTTCCATGTTGGTATGAATTCAATCCTATGTACAGTTTTTGAATAGTAATACAGTTTCCTATGTACAATTTTTGAATAATCATACAGTTTTATACCTATCTTTTCGTATAGTTCTCCATTCGTAGGTCGACCGAGTGTACGTCACTGGTATTTTCCTGTTTCTGACTACCCCCTAAACCTTTTCATGTTAGTATGAATTCAATCTTATGTACAGGGGCAGACAGCCAAGATGATGTCTTGTCACTGTCTATAGAGAAGCAGGAAGCCCCCTTATACAGCTATATCTTATGTACAGTTTTCGAATTCGAATAATCATACAGTTTTCTATGTACAGTTTTTGGATAAGCATACAGTTTTGTATATTTTCGTATGGTTCTCCATTCGAAGGTCGATCGAGTGTACGCCACTGGTATTTTCCTGTTTTCTTCCTCAACTTTTCCATGTTAGTATAAACTCAATCCTATGTACAGTGTTTGAATAATCATACAGTTTCCTATGTACAGCTTTTGAATAATCATACAGTTTTGTATATTTCCGTATGGTTCTCCATCCGTAGGTCGATCGAGTGTACGCCACTGGTTTTTCCCCTCACTTGTTTCGTATCCTATTGCCTATCTCCTTCCAATGTTTTTCTTCTGTCTAGTGTTAAGTTCAGTTCACTGCTTTCCTTTCGTCCACCTTTTCCTGAAGTTTTCATCTCATTTGCAAATGATCCAATTCGATAACTTACCGGTAACTTGACAGAAGCTTTTATACAATACTCAGAGCTCTAGATTTCGGTACTGTTTATTTTGGCGGATACCGCACTTATGTCTACATTAGTTCTAGAGATGAGTTCCTCTGTGTCTTCTCGAATTTTTTGAATAAAGCCATGTAGAAGAAAATAATGAGCAGATCTGAAGATCCCCTGAAAAATACATCTAGAATATCCAGTCAGGTTTCCTAGGGAAAAAAACCCTCCTCCATCGGCGATATGTGAAAAAAATCCGAAAAAGTTTCACGCAACACGAATTCCAATCGAAATGAAAACTTGAAAGCAAACAAGTGTATAAAATATTATTTCGTCCCGAGAACCGACCCCCTTATTGTCGCCCGACGAGCGACGTTAAGGGTGGAAAATGATTTGTGGCCCTCGGAAAATAGCGCCGAGACCCGGGGACGACGGACGGGGTCGCTCTGCTCCGGGATCTTCATCCCTTTTGTGATGAGTAACCCCACTTAGGAACGTGTCGGATCTTGGGGGTAAATTACCAATAATATAACAAAGCAAGTGGAGAGCGGTGGAAGAGGAAATTTGTTAGTGAATCATTGCGTGGTCTTTTCGAGAAACGCATATCATATTTAATGGGAAAAGTTTATACCCTTTTCATAATCTTATTTATGTTTTTCTTATATCATGTCTACCTATTCTTGTACTACTGTGATTACTTAAGCAAGTTCGACAACGATCACATTGCACAATAACACAAAAAATTTATTTTTTTCCCGATAAAACTGGAAATATCATTGACAAGAAACTAAATAGTTTCTGCTTTTTTCAATTTCAATCCAAATGGGTAATTGGAAGATCCGTAGATAAGCTGATGGTTGACCATCTATCCAGCAAGATTCTCATACCAATATTGTTGAAAGGTTTTACCTATACATTTAAGAAAATATGTTTATACCGAGTATGATGGCTTGATTTCTTTTTTCTGATTCGGTCAATTTTCATGATAAGCCACAGTCAGTCCACTTTTAGCTAAAAATGTAATATAAATACGTAGGAACTTGCAGCACAAACTTACAATCTTCGTGTTCTAGTTACAAATTCTTTGCAGAAATATATTCAATAAAACAGAACAATTCTCATAAAAAGAATGCTAAAATTTTACTAGAAACTATAAACAGCAAGTAAAACAAACACCGTTCGTATTATTTTTATTCCAGAATTCAGGATTGCGTACTTATTTTCATGATGTGGCGCCAGGATACCTTGAAACTATTTCGGAAAAATATACATTGATAATATGGCTTACGATTACAAAGAAAATATGTTTAAGTTGCCAAACAAATAAAACAACTATGCAAAGTATTTACGACTACCTTTTGGCGTTCTCTCCTCTGACCTGTATATTTTATTTCGCGAAACCAATAAATAAGATTGGAAATCCGAGTTGCCTCGATTTGCTCAAATTAAAACAACGGTACCTTCTCGAAAGCTATAAATTTGATTAAGTTTTGAGAGCTTGTTTGTTGGAAGCAGTACCACTTTGTGAATTGTGTAATTTGTTACCATGCATACAAAAACTTGACCAATGATTGAGTGTTAAATGTTATTAAACGTGAATACTTTTTTTTTAGATGAATTAAAATAACAGTTTATCGCTACTAAATATTAACATTAAAGACACCTCGAGAACAGCTTTTCCTTCACGGGGCATCTGCCCAGAAAAAAAGGAGTCGTTACGCGATAAGGAAATTAAAACAAATTTCTACCCAAAGTTGGGTAGTGGTTGGTTAATGTTTGCACCTGTGGGTACCTTTTGGTCATTATGTTGTGATATTCTCATTATTAACTCAGTGGCGTTAGTGGAAAAAGTTTTAATCATTACTATCCCAAATTTCTTCTTTGAGTAGGTACCTAGTTATTTATAAGATTATCCATTTGTTGACATGAAAAGAGAAACTATTGTCAGTATGCGTTCTATTTTATCCCGAT